AGTTTAATAAAATTTTGAATGTAAGACACTAAAACTTTGTTTCATGGCAGTAAAGTGTACCTGGGGCAATAGGGTTAATATAACAAAAAAAAACAAATTATACTTTTACCACATTCATAGCTTCTGTACAGGCAGACTAAATAAATTTTACTTTATTCTAATATGAAAGTGGCATTCTATACAAGTGAATTCTCAGAAACTTTTGTTTCCGATGTACAATACCTCCATTCGCATGTATAGCTATTCTCGTTCAGTGCTGTCCTCTATGTGCAAAACTTTTTTTGCATGCCACAAGTCTTGAACACCCACATACCAGTGATTCAACTGCATCTCGCATGTAAATCATCCTGTGACAACCTTCCACCAATAGGAGTTAACACACCCTCCTGACGCATATGACTCCCTCTATTAGATTCTACCATATTATCACTTCTTGTTTGGGACTGATTGAGTGCAGGCATTTTTCAATTGTGCTCTTTTCACATGTTCATTGTTTTGTTAAGTAGCGATTTACTTGATATGTGCATTTGCTACAGTTAATTTTCTATAGTTTGCCACAGTAACTTACCTTTGTTTATTGATTTTTGTTGGTTTTTTTTTCTCATTTTCAACCCACCGTTTCTCGACTCCCAGCAGTTGTAGTCACTTTTGTCAATGTGTGTGTGTGGAGGGGGCTGTCCCTGATAATCCTATCCATTTCTACCATGTCCATCTTTCCACCTACATCTTTTCCTTACAGCTCTCCTATAGTACTTGTCCAACATACATCTTTTTTCTGAGGCACTCCAATGATCCCCTGACGAGATTTGGAGGGATACACTTTTCCTCCTTACTCCTTTTTGCCATTATTGTCCTCTTCAGCCCATCTATTCACATGTGGTTTTGTTGCTGTTGGGATCATCTTGAGAAGTACACTGTATTTTCACAGATTCATTTACCTTCCTCTTATCTTTGTGACTTATGGATGGCTCTTTTTCTTCACCAGTTTGTTTTCAGAGATTTTCCAGTCTTTGGAATCGCAAGTGGACTCTGCAAGTCCACATTAGACCCTTCAGTCTTTGGTTGCTCATTTATCTTATTCTGATACCATGACCTCTTCTATAACTGTTTCTCATCCTGCAACCTCCCGTCCTTTACCAGTTCCTACCACTAGGGGTTACAAATTTCACAGTGTGTCTCAAAGTTGGGATACTCATTGTCAGCAGTTCCAGTGACTATCAAGTGCATTCCTGTATTGTGGGGTATGTTTGGCCGATTTTGTTCCCCTCTGGTGGTTATTCACTACTGATTCTTGGGTGATTCAAGTTTTGTCATAAGAATTTTTTAGCCTTTTCCTTTCTCCTCCACCTTTGTCTCCTGTACCAATTTCCTTCCCATTAACTTGGGATACAGCTACCTGTCTGCATGTATACAAGGTAGTGCTGATCCTTCTATCTTAGGGAGCTATCAAGCCTGTTGCCCAACCTTCTCTGGGATTTTACTCCAGGTTTTTTGTCCTGTGAGCCATCTGTCCTGCTTCACCCAATTTCTGGATCTTTTCTGATTTCCCATGAGTCTTTTTTCACAATCAGTTTTTTCTCTCCAGGACTATGTATGAACAAGGTATATGTCTCAAATGCCTATCTTCATATTAATATTTCTCATCAGTCCAGATGCTATCTTCGGTTTGTCCACTATGGGGTTGTGTATCAATTTCGTGCCTGGTCTTTCAGGCTTGCTTCTGCATTGTATGTATTTTATTGGGTGGTCACCGCTTTTGACCAACTTCTGCATGCCTTAGGGTTGAGTTTACACCACTATATGGATGACTAGCTCCCATTAGTTCATTCCAAACTGGATTCTTCTCAACACAAACATCTGCTGCTGAGGGCAACTTGTGTTGGTTGGATTCTATAGTTGGTGAAGTTTCCTTTTGCCTACCCACTATCTTATCCACTTAAGTGTATTTTTCAACACCCACATCATTCAGGTCCAACATTCTCCACTTGTTCTCTCTTAAATAGTGCTTTCTGTTCTTTATGCATTTACTGCTTCCTCAATTTCTGCATGAGGTTCTGTCACTTTTCAGGACTTGGGCTTCTATGGAAGCCCTTATTCCTTTGGGTCAGGCACATATGCATTCCCATTAGTGGACTCTGCATGGCCAATGAAATCTTGCTCAGAAGCCCTTGGACTCCCCAGTTACCTATCCTCTTTCACTTGCAGACAATCTATGTTGGTGGTTGAACAAAGAGAGCACAATGAAGGGAATATTTCTTCCTCCATTTTGTCTGGATTTGATGCTTCTCTCCAAGGTTGGGGAGTGTGGGTCTTTCAGCAAGAAGCTTCTGGGCAATGGTCTCCAATTGATATATTTGCTTCATTAATATTCCCATTCTGGACTGTACTAACCCATAGACTTATATGGGTAAAGCAGAAGGGGCAGTCTGCTTTTCAGTAGAGAGTTTTTGTGGTCACTCATTGTACTGTCTCTGGTATTGGCATTCCTCCAGACTATCCACCATGTATTATACCTTTTTGTTCTTCTAGTGCAGTATGGGAGCCCTTGCCACTTTCCAGTTCTAAGCTGCTGGGGTGGTGAACCATGGAGGTCTCCTCCTGAATGTGGTCACTTTCAATCAGAAGAGAGTAGAGTGGTGGTGTTCTGCTGGTGTAAGTGCATGTTAACCATCTCCATGCAGTGGGTCCTGGATGTTGATGTTGAGCTCAGCTTCTGCACAGTTCTATCCAGAGGGTGAGGTTATATATATATGTATTTTATAGAGGCAATCCATTTCTGTACAATGGAACCCAGAAGTTAGTATTGCACTCTAACTTTGATGTGGTCCTATCTCGGGGATGATGATGCACATATTTCCAAATACTATGCTCCATCTCCCTGCAATTGGTCCTGGAGGTTGATGCTTTCCCTAGCTTCTGTGGAGTTTCATCAGGAGGGTGAAGTTGTGTATATCTTGCAGAAGCGATCCTCTTCCGTGTGGTGGAACCCGGAGGTTGATGTTGTGGTCCAATCCAGAGGATGATGTTGCTTTGTAGTAGATCTGTTACATTGCAGTTCACCTCCTCGATTGGGAAACCTTGTCCTACCATCACCTGTATGTTGGTTCTAAGTGAGTGATTTTGGATGAGAGCTGGACCAATTAACATAAATCATCACATGTTGGTTGTGGTTCCTCATCCTAACTCCAATTTCTTAGTTTTGCCCTATATTCTCCACCTGTGTTCAATGGGTCCTAGAGGTTGATGTGCACATGTGCTACAACTTCTGTGCAGTCCTATCTGGATGATAATGTTGTTTCGGGCAAAGGTTCTTCTTCTAGTGCTCCTCCTTAGAGTTTTTCCCCTGTCTGAGGCAGCTGTTGCACTGGGGGTTCCAGTCTGATTTGTTTTGGTTTGATGTGAACCAGCAAATTGGCACATCCCTCTGTACTGTCATTCGAATGTTGGGTTCCCGTATGAATGGGTGGTTGTGGATTTGCCCACATGCCCCATGTTTAGTAGTTCGGTTTGACATGTATATGATTCCATTCTACTCAACTTGAGGTGAAGACAGTGTGGACCCTCCTCCTACTAAGTGTCGGAACTTGTAATCCTGATGCCGCTTGGTTTTGGACTGGAGTTGACCGGCTGCATACAGTATGTCACACCCTAGCCGCTCTTCACCTTGAAGCACATCCATTTTAGCTTTCCTCACATTCCTGTCTGTAGATGTTTCTTTTATAGTCTTTCTTCACTGGGAATGAGATTCTGGTATATTGTGGTTCAGATTTGAACCCACCCTGTTTTTCTCTCCCCTTTGGTTGTGCTCCTCCCACTTTCTGCACATATAAGTTGTGTCTATTTCTACACTGGGTGCACAGTATACTTGGTACAGAAGTGGTGCAGTCTCACATGTGTGTTCCTCTCCTAACAGGGATCACAATTCGTGGGTGTTCTTCAGACACTTTTGAAGGATACTTATTTCTATCTCTTGCACTAGTCCCTCTGCCTACAATGTGGGATTCTAGCTATACATGTGAGAAGAGGTAAGTACCTATCAGATATATATGTTCAGTGTAGGAAAATTATAACTTTAGTTTCACATATGTAGCACAGTTTTCTCTTATATTACTAATACATGTGTAAGCAGTTATGTAACATATATAGTTGCTGCTAGAAAAACTTCTATTTTTCTTTAACTGTTAGTATTTCTTTCTTATTCTTTTGTTATGTGTATGTTGATGTCTTCTAGTTATTGTGTTTACCAGCAACAACAACATTTTTCTTAACATTAGTAATTTATTTTTGTTAGACGTAATCTTGCAAAAGTCCTTATTTTAACTGTATTGAAAGTTACCGTTTTGCTCTCCTTCATAATGTGGCATAAGTTGTTTGTGACATACGTACCAATTCTTATTATTGAAATGCTGGTTTTAGGTGATGATTGGCCTAATATTGAAGTATGTCATTGGCTATTATGTTTCCAGTAGACATGTACTTTGATGCATTCTGCATAAACATATAGAATTTCTGCTATCTATATCAATAGCGTGAATTTTGGAAAAGATTAGTAATGTTGTTATTATTATGGATAATTACAGAAAACCAAAGTTATGGATCAAATCATTAGTTTAAACCTTTCAGGTGTTAAGTGTAGAAATAATAGTTTTAATTCTAACTCTATTTTGTCTTTATGTAACATTAATTTATTTCACAAAGGTAAATGAAAAAAATGTTTAAATGTGTTTCTACACAGCTCCTAGGATTCTTGCCTGTAAACAATAAACATACCAGTTTTATTTAGAAGTTTTCTGCCTATTTTAAAACATAGGCTTACACTTGCTAGGAAATTATCATCCCTTGAGAATAAATTTCTCAGGAGTTTTTTTTTTCTTCTTTTATTAGTACAGCATCTGCCTTATTCACACATTTTTATGACCTCAGAATATGATCAGAAAAACTACTATTGAAACTGCTTTGAAAATAACTACATGTACAGTTTAAATATGATTGAATAGAACAGATTAAATATTATTTAATTCAATGTGTAAGAAATAATTTATGGTTTTGTGGCAAATTTGAGATATAACTCCTGTAAAGAAGAAAAATGGAATTTAGTGGGAGTTTTAGAAGATTTGGTAACAAGCCACTTGTATATGAGAATGTTTTTATATTTTTTTAGACATGGTTTTAATTATTGAAAATGTTTTCATGTTAAATTATGTTTGTTGTAAAGCTATGGAAATTTGTTTCTATGTCAAGACTTCAGGTAAGCCTCATTACATTTAGAGACAATGGTAAGCAAAATATTCTGACTCAAATGTGGCTTAAATTCTTTTTTATTGAGTATTGTTGCTAACTAAGTTTATCATATTCAAACAATGTAGATAAGTAAAAGACACCGTACGTATTAGATAGAAATCGATCTCAACCAAGAATACTGTTACCTAGCCTGACCTGATGCTATGTTACCTATAAATCTTTTTTACATTTTATGAACAGAAGAGGTGACATTTATAATCCTTGAAGTAAAGTATTAAAAGAAATAAGTAAATAAATAAAAATCAAGTGTTGTAACTGGCTGGATATATAACTTTCTGAAAAACAATTAAAAAATTTTAAATTCTGAGACAAAGGAAGTATTTTCAAATTTCTTACTTTAAAAAAAAACAAAGTTAAACAAAACTGTAGTATTTTCACAATGCAAAAATTATAGAAAAAGTAAATAAAATTATATAATCTTTCCAAAACTAAAACTAATTACTTTGTAGTATTTCCACTGTGAGAATGAAAAAATCATGGGAAAATTTGTTTCATTGTTAATCTTTAAACTCTATTTTCTACAGCTTTTCTTTTTTATATCTATTTGTATAATTTATTTTTTGTGATTCACCACTTTTGTTTTCATGCGACCACCTTAATTTACTTCAAACAGAATAAATGTTATGAGACGCCATGTGGTTAATAACATTTCTTTATTAACCTTGCCAGTTTTTTAATTTTATAGATAGTACCTATAAATCATCTTTATTGTTTTGTAGTTTTTTTCCTGTTATTTATGTACAACTAAATAACACTTTCTATCATTTTGTAGAGAAAGGATAAGAAACATTGAAGCAACGGAGGAATCCAAACTGAAAATGTTGAAAGAACGAATGGCAAAGAAAGAAACGGGCACATCATTTGTGCCAACAAACATGGCTGTCAACTTTGTCCAGCATAATAGGTGTAAGTTCAAAGTTTGTATTCATGTCAGACCTACAAAACTTCTCTGAATTATCAAGTTGTGTTTTAATTTCAGCCATCACTGTTAGCTCTAATCTAACCTATATAAAAACCAGTATGTGTCACCTCACATCATGCTTGATTTCTCAAAATAGGTGGATTCATAAAAGCCAAAATGCATTTATCCAGATAGAATGGTTTGATTACTGTCTACGCATTATGATTTTAGTGAAGGGGTGCATTGAAACCTTATGTGTGTGAGTGTTGGTATAATAAGCCTAAAGTACAGACTTAGTGTGGGATCACCTAGCTTAGAGCAAAGTGCATAAAATTTATCATGAAAGTAAAAAATATCGATTCAATTTTTAAACTAAATTGTTTCCGAATTAAGCTATTTTCTGTTATATCACCAACTTTTTAAAGAAAAACCTCTTTTAATAAACGGAGACTAAATTAAGAAATCAACAAATGTTTTCCAAGTTCTGTTGTCTATGCATTTATTTTATACTGTCAGTACACAGACTAACAAAAATATTAGATTATCCTTTTGTTGCTAAGCGACATGACATAAAAGACACTGTTGGAACATAGTGTTATCAAAATGCACTGGCTTTCCTATGTATTAGAAGTTGTTAATCTAACTGATTTGTACCAATATTTATTCTATGAATACACCACAAATTCATTTCATGAATGATCTTAATTTTGATTGGCTCAAAAAAGAATTTACTCAACTGCACTTTTCTGTCTCTTTATTGGTCAAGCTTAATATGCCAAAACTTATTTATTTCAGTTAGCTATGAAATGTGAGTTTAGGGTATACTATGGAGTAATAGTACTTGCCTCGTCATTTTTGATGGGCTATAGGCTAGTATTTATATAATACAGTAACCTAAAGCTCCTTTAGTTTCATTGTAAGAAACTATTTCCATTTACTTTTGACAGGATATTACCTCATAATTATGAATGATTTGATTAAGTAGTTTGAAAGCAGACTTAATTTGATGTCTCTAAACCTGTTATGAGGTTTGAAAGGCTAGAACAATAGGTGAGTTAAAAACTGTACAGACAGATTGGATATTGAAGAAGTACAGGCAGTTCAACTGGAGATGAGGGAATTGTCAACAAGGTGGAAAGATATTTCGAAATAGAGAATAACTAAAACAGGAAGAGAAGAAGGATACCTGTTTACAAAAGATGAGATCTTCGCAACTCTGTGTGTTGAAAAAGTGGTATAAGAGATGATGAAATATCATATTTCACATGTGAGACAGAGATATTGATATATTGTATTGCATATACTGTCCAAAAAGTGTAGATTTGATGAAGCAATTTGTAGTACCAAAGGGATGGAAGTATCAGTTACTTTCAATAGCTCATGACATACTATGGCAAATCATAGGTAGAGATTATTTTGGCTAGGTATATTTGGGCAGTGTGGCTTCATATTGTTAGATATATCCACAGTGTTAAAAGGGAGTACCAAAAAGTAAGGTTTGTGAATGTCCTCATGTTGGAAGAACTACTACAAGGAATTGCACTTGATTTCATCGGGCCTTTCCCCTATACTCGTAAGGTAACAAGTATATTTTAGTCATCTGTGACTATACCACTAGATATTCTGATGCCATTTGTTTGAAAGACTAAGAAGCAGAGATGGTTTCAGGAGCTTTGATAGAGGTATTTTTTAGACTTGGTATTCCTAAGGAAATTTTGTCAAATCAAGGAACTAATTTCATGTAGTCTTTAAAGAGAAGCTTTATCTTGCAAATTCACAAACTTGTGTTAATATTAGACCATCCTCAAACTAAAGAGTTTAGTTGAGTGGACCAACGGGACATGTTGTGATGTTAAAGGTGAACCTAAAGCCTGGGATGAATACCTTCCTGATATATATATATATATATATATATAAAAATAAGTATCTCAGGAGGCCATTTGGCTTTTCATTCTTGATTTAATGTATGGATAACACACTGTGCATAGTGATAGAAAGTTGGGAAGAGCCTGATGAGGAGAAAGTATTATTTTTTAGAGGTGAAAAGACAGGTTGAATAAGCTTTTTGATTTGTTGAAGAAGTATACAGAGGTGGAAAAGGTACTACGATAAGAAAGTTAGAAACCATACTTTGCTGGTTAGGCAAAAAGTTTTAGCACTTTTACCTAGTAGTTTTAATAAGTTGTTGACAGTGTGGATAGGACTTTACAATTAACTAGAGAAGACATTTAACATTCATTCGTTAAAACCATGGTATGAAAGATATCAATATATTGAAGCATGTCAAGAAGATGAGAAAGTATGGGGTTTAGATGTTATTAGTGTAATGTCCATGGGGATGGAAAATACTGTAGACGACATTGGTAACTTAGCTTTGTGTAAGAAGGAATATTTCTGTTACGTTCATATCAATCCAGTTGTTTTACGTGAAAAAAGAAATTGGCTTATCCAGGTGTAAATAAAATAATTTTTCCTGAAAGTTAACATGCGCTCGAGAGTTGTTATTGGAAACAATGATCCCCAAAAATGTTTTGCAGCATAGTATTAGTTTTGATGATGACATGGAGTAGAATGTATTAAGTTGCACTACAGCTGTTTATTAAAAAGAAAAGAATAATTTGTAACTATAGGTTTATCCGTGTGATACTTTTTCATTCAGTTCAAAACCTCTTAAATTTGGAGTTTGTTGACCTTTCAATATTATAAACTAGCAGAGACTTGCAAAACATTTGAGGTTAAATTATATCTTTATTTTAACAGTACTTCTTTAAATACAGCATTTCTAGAATATCACAAAATAATTCTAATAATAGACAATGAAGTCTAAGTTCACTCATCTTATGCCTATATTTGATAGAGATAAATTAACACTAACTTGTGTATGTTTTTCACTTTAGTTTAGTTAGGGTTAAACTTTACCACACTTAATATTAACAATAAATAAATTTACAATAGACCATTTGGTAAAAACTTTAAGCTTTGAAGATGTTATTGTACGAAATGTAAAGTATTTTTACATCCATTGAAATGAAGTGCACACACATTTTCAGGACAGACAAAATCTAATGCCATGTGATATTCTTGTACTGGTTAGAAAACATTCCATTATTTTTCAACTAACTGGTAAGCATTGTGCTTTAAATATTTATTTCTATGATATGTTTTTTTTATGCTAATAAAATACTGTTCATTCATTATTATGTTTTTGTTCCAATCTGCAGTTACCATTGAAGAAAGTGCAGAGTCCAAAGCTAAATTGTTAAAAGAAAAGTTTCGAGAGCCAGTAGTAAATATAAATGAAGCAGAAAAATCACATCAATTCAAAAGTAAGGTGTTTTCTATTACATACTCTACCACAGTGAATAAAATGTTAATGTTTGAAAGGATATTTTTCTGTAATCATTCACTTGACATCAATCTATGTAGTCACAAGTGATCACATTTTCAGGTTTCTGTTCTCTTTGCTTTAAAAGCATACTTTTTTTCTGACATTCAGTAACATATCAATTTTACTTTTATATGGTAATTTCTAGCATATTTAGAAATATGTACAGCTATTTTTTGAATAATAGTTTGACATTTTCCTTTCAAGATACTGTATAATTTTTTTTTTTCATGTTAGGGTATTTTGTTCTCAAGTTTAATTTTTATAATTAAATAGTTTACTGCTATTCATGAAGAAGGCCTGTTAGATCTCTTCAAATAACCCAGTTCTGTTTTTTACCTGGCATCTTAAAGATCACATATGACATGTGCCCAGCTATTGACTACCAGAAATTAAAACATGCATTTTTTTATTTGGAGACTGGAGATTTTAAACTTACTAATTAATAGTATGTAACCATTGAAACTATTTTCTTGGTTTACAAGGTTACTAATAAAGAATAACTTTTTACCCAGTAAAATATTCTAATATATTTGAGGTTTCTTAAAATACACATGTATCCTATATATTAATTCACCTTGTGTTTCTGTAAATCTATTTATCTGGGAACTCCTCCCCCAGTTCTGGAGTCAGCATGACCAAATTTGGCAAATGACCTGGGGGATGGATGTTGTTATCTATATGGCATAGCCCCCATCCTTTTGGGAGGTTTAAGAATAGATGTTCAGGTTTGCTGAACCAGGATCTGGGATCAGATTTAGTATTCCTAACCCCCTTCAAAATCCTGGAGGCTCTAGGTCTGAAACTTGGTTCAAAACCCCTCTCCTTCACTCTCAGACTAGTGAGACCAAATTTGGGACATTTGCTCAAGTACTACGTGCTGGTGTCCTAACAAGATTTGTTTTTGGGTCTGCACCTTCCACCATGGGGTAGCTATAGAAATAACTGCCAATAATTGAGGAGCTTGATGAGTACACTGGGGCCTCCGAACGTATTTTATGCTAGTGTAATTCTCTCAACAACCGTAACTCTACAATTTTCCAAATGACTGCTTTCTTTGGTAATTTCACTTGTAAACAACTGTCCTTTGACAGTAAGTATTTTATAATTAAGTATACATTTCTTTTTCAGCTAAGAAAAATTCTAAAATGGGAGAAGATGAGAAAGCAACAGATGACTTCCATTTTGAAAAATTCAAGAAGCAGTTTAGGAGATTTTAGAACAAGGCAGATATTTTACTTTACACATATATTTATTGCATATAAATAAAGTCATGAATTCCTTTATGTGAACATTAACCATAATAAAGAAAAATATTTTTGCTGAAACGAAGTCTAACATAACAATAAAATAAGTATAGATTATTACTGAAAAAAAAATTGAAATATATGACAGTGTGCAAATTTTCCACACTAAAATTATCTAGTAACAAAACAGATGACTGAAAAGTTTAAAAATGTTTAACTTAATAAAACAAAAAAAGTAGTTTAAGTTGTATATTTCATTAAATACTTTGCTTATATATCCTTGTTATAGTACTGTATTTGATAAGAGAATTAATTTCCTGTAACTTTTGATTTGTACTGCTGTGTACTTTCCTTGCATGGTTATAAAAAGTTCAAACTGTAACTAAGGTTGGTTGGTTTTTTTTGTTTATTATTATTATTATAGCATAAACAATTAAGATGGAGAAAACTGTACCTTGCTGTCACAAAGATCCACAAAAATTACCTAAATGGCTTTAGAAAATAAAATAAATCACATTTTTAATTAAGTTACTAGGTAAAAAAAAAAGAAATATTTTGTACCTTGGAATCCTTAAATTTTCATAAAACAAAGAACTAGTACACTCAAATAAAAATAGGCTGTTGTTAAAGATTTTAAATTATTTTTCAATTTCATTTGATTTTGAGCTAGATATTTAGAACTAAAGTTGCTATACATATTTTAAAATTTAATATTATAACTCGGTTCCTAAATAAGGAAAAACTTCATAAACACGAATTCCCCGACCCAAGGACAAAAGTATACTTTAAACATTAGATAATAAAATTGATTATACAAAACCATAACAAAAGCTACATTGTTTTTGTGTATCAAGTGCACTTTTAATACCACAAAACAGTATTAACTATAGTAGCACCTGAGTATTTATTATTCACTTAACATATATATATATATATATATACTAAACAAAGTTTTAATTGCCTAAGCTTAAAAGAAAATAAGAGAGAGAGAGAAAAAGATTGTAAAACCTGTGGAATCTTTTACTGTGGCTCCTTGAATTTGTTTTTCTTTCCAAGTATTTTCATCAGTTCACGTGACATGTAGTAAGGTCTCTCTGCAGAGCCATCATTTCTTTCACAGTCATCCACTAAATAAATACAATTAATAGTTTTAGTGGCCACTATATCTTTAATTATTCTCTCATCAGTATTTTTATAATTTGTAATTTCAATAAAGCATGCCTATTATTTTGTTAAATACCATTCAAACTTAAAAAGCAGGCAAATGTGGATGAAATTAGCACTGTGGTATAATAAACAATTACTTTGTGAATTATATCTATTACATAGAAATACGTTTAGTTAAGCTGTATCAACTTTAAAAATCAGAAATGTAGTGTATGTGTGTGTACTCAAACTAGTTACTAGACTCTTGCTCTTTTCATGTCTTTAGTGGAAGTAAAGTATATGTATAAATGGCTATCAAATGCACACTAATCATAGGAGTTATTACATTATAACTGCTAAAAACATAAAATATACTAATGCTATGTGGTCCATTTGAAGATAGGAGCCAATGTATGAACACCTAGCATTTTGAAAATAGCACAATTGATGATAATTCATAAGCACTGACATTACGTACTTGTAAACAAACAATCATTAAGATCATCATAAATCTAACAATTTTTATTTTTCTTATTTTATAAAAAAAGGCATTGGTAAGAATTGTTTAAATCAATATATACTTGCTAAGGGTCAAAAGGGCAATTCTGTAGGGACAGTTTTTTTCATTGTAGTGAGAGATGTTGTACTGCAAGTATCACAATGGGTTATAGAATTTGGAAAGTATAAAATTACTTACAGAAACAGAGAAACAAAGTATCCACTGCCATATTATAGACACTGAAGATACATGAGGCTATGAAATAGGAGCCTATTGCTACAGTCTGGAACGAAAAAATAAATACATGACTGCTATACAGCAACTATCTAAATTTATACATATATATATATATATTGATGGCATCACATATAATTTTAGTGTAAGTTGTATTTCTTTTAGTAATTTTTGTATCACAGTTGTACTTTGTCATACTTTCAAATATTATTTGTTTGGCAAACTAATTAAATGAATCACATGGCTGTTATAGTAAATCTAACTAATAAGATCACATCTTTAGAGCCTGTGTTTTTATATGTACTAACTGAAAGCCACAGCTAAATTTGTAAAATGATTTTCTTCTCTTCTATAATGACCTTAATCCCAACTAGTTTGGAGCTGGCTGGTAATTTTGTAAATTTCGACGGTAATCGTAGAAGATGAGCATGTTTGGCGATGGGGAATCGAACTTGTGACCATCAGATTGGAAGTCGAGCACCCTAACAACCAGGCCCAAATTTGTAAAATAATCTAGCAGATAAAACTTCAGTATTTTGGATTTGTTTTATATATGAGAAGAATTGTTATGGGCTAAATATTCTATATGAACTTAAACTTATGGTTTAGATGTACAACATTAAATTTATTATATACTCTACTGAGAAAATAAAAAACATATTGGACTTTCAAACACAACAGTTACCATTTCTATCATTTAACAGTGTCTATATCTGGATAACAAACAGTAAAGCAGGACTGACAAGATTTTCAGGAAAGTTTTAATAAACCTTATTGAGAACCCTCAATTTTTAACAATAGTCTTTCTGTAACTGTGTCCTTTAAACAACTTATGCTTTACACATTTCAACCAAAAGGTCAAGTCAACAATAAATTTGTTTAAAGATGAAATTTACCATTAACTATTGTATGTATGTACGTACTATTTTTTTTTTTACCTAAATTGTGATGATATTAAACTAATAATTACATGATAATCTAACAATATCTGAAAATAATTATTTTTATTCTGTTACATTTTAATATTGTTCAGATCCATTTCAGTTGTGAAAAACCTTAAGGCATATTTTTTAAGAATAATCTGGGTTACAAAGTCCTATTTTCACAATTATATCTTATAAGTGAAAAATATTAAGTTTTAGAAATTACTTACGATTACTGGCAACAAGTAGTAGTTCAAAGAGGGCACATAATGTTTCAGAAAATGGATTCTTCCAGAGAAGAAATAGAAGGCAGCAACAGCTAGTAATAATTTCAGAAATAATGTTTATGTATAACTTCTTCAAACAGGCTACATGTTTTAAGAATCATTTATACACACACTAATTCTCATAGTTTGTTTCATCAAAGTTTGTATGTTAAGAAATGCCAGGTTATAATTAACCCTTGACATTGCAGATTGAGCTCAGCTATAGGACATTTTATACCAAAGCATATGTTTAGCTCAAACTATATGTGCATGGAACATTGTACAGCTTCTACATATTTGTAAACAACTTAAAACCAAAAGTAAAACGTTTTAATGTACTTCATTTATCAATTTATTTATAGAAATATGTCATATATATATATATATATATATATATATATATATATACTAACTTACTACTATTATTTTACTTACTAATATATAACTTAACTTAAACTTTAAACTTAATAACTAATA